AATGCAGCATCTCGTTCCCTCTCAGGGAAATGAAAAAATCCTTCAATTTTTTTTTTTTTTTTACACAAAAAAAAATTAATAAAATTTCGGCAGAATATGAATTTTTAAATGATCTTTAATATAGAACTCTAAAATGGAAATGGTGGTGGAATAATATGAGACTTTTATATTTACTCACTAAGCTTTTATATTCACTCACAAAACTTTGTTGCTGAATAATGTTCTTGTGTTTCTGTTTTCCAGATCAGATTTCTGTCTACAAAATCCTCAGTTTTCTTCTGGCAGCTTCTCCGTATCTGTTAGCGACAGTCGTGCTGCTTTTCAAATGTTACAGAGCGAGAGGTAAAACTTCTCACACACACACTCTCTCTCTCTCTCTCTCTCTCTCTCTCCACCCCCCCCCCCCCCCACCCCCATTTATTCACATATTCTCTTACTGACAGAAATGCCTTGACAGCCTGTCTTGTATATATTATACAGATCTATATTTTGAACAGACGATGGTCATTCATGAAAAAAAGTAGTTACTGCAGTGGAAAAATAATTTCAAAAAAATAAGACAAGTCCAAATGTTGAAAATGTTTTTTGTATGTATTTCACAGTTTCATCTGCTGAAGACCAAAGTCAGTACGCCGTAACAGAGGAATAAACTTTTTGACAGAACAAAGTGATTCTTGCAATTGTAATTTAATGTGAAATGTACATTTGTGATACAAACAAAGGCTATTGGGGTATTTTTGCAGGGAATAAACGAGCCCGACGAAAGACTTTTTTAATGTCAGAAAACGAAAACTTTTAAAAACGGGTTTTAAAGTGCAAGTTTTTGAAAACGAGACCCAAGTCAGGCTTTTTTAAATGAAAGGTTCCTTACATTCCTTACAAGGTTACAGACTCAAGGATGATTTTCTTAACTCTTTATGCGCCAAAGTTTTTTTTTTTTTTTTTTTTTTAATGTCATCAAAATTTCAAAAGCTTGTGGCTTGAAAGGGCTTAAATGGATTTACTGTAAATTTGCATATTATTACCGCGGGCGGCACTCTTGAATTTAAAAATATCCAAGAAATAGTATATATTGAACTGATGTTTGAACTTATTTCCATGTTTTATTTTATTTTTTTATTTTTTTATCCTCATTCCAAATTATGAGAAAAGAGGAAACCAACAATAACAGGAGAAAGTACTAAATTATTACTATACTAGTATACTACTAACAAACATAAATGATATGTCTTTAACATATATCATGATTTTTTAACAAACATAAATTATGTAGCTTTAACATATATAATCAATAATAAATAAAATCAACTTTATTATATCCAACCGACTTACATTTTATATATATATATATATATTTTTTTTTTTTTCTGTAATAGTACATTTTTAAATGAAAGGTTCCCTTTCAATACACTCAAGGATGATATTTGTTTTCAAAGCCCTTGTGTTCAAAGTTTTTGACACTTTCTTAAAGGAGAACTCCGGCAAACAATGAACCTTTGGTCTAATAAAACATCGACCGTTCTCTGAGATTTGTTTTCATGATAATGTAAAGTTTTGTTTTCATGAGAATGTAAAGAGTTTTATGTCTAAAATCTGTTTAGCGTATAATGCTAGTAATGGGGGCATTGACTAAGTAAATGAAATCGCTAGTTTATACAACTAACAAGGCTCAAAATAGCCCCACACTAACGCAGTAACATAACGAGGCTCCATACATGCAAAACGAAGCATTGAGAACTTTGTAAGTGTTCAGACCGTTTAATAAGAAGATACTTTACGAAGACAGTTCACTTCGCGAATACAGACAGGAGCCATCTTAAAAAATAGTCTCGATAAGTCAAACCACGAACGTCGTGCTGAGTGATCTGAACTCTATGAAGTTCAGCGAACTTCTGAACTGTATGAGCGGCGTTCGGGGATCGACTTATCAAGACTATTTTTTAAGATGGCTCCTGTCTGTATACACAAAGTGAACTGTCTTCATAAAGTATCTTCTTATTAAACGGTCTGCACACTTACAACGTTCTCAATCCTTCATTTTGCATGTAGGGACCCTCATTATGTTACTGTGTTAGTGTGGGGCTATTTTGAGCCTTGTTAGTGGTATAAACTAGCGATTTCTTTTTACTTAGTCAATGCCCCCATTACTAGCATTATACGCTAAACAGTTTTTAGAGATAAAACTCTTTACATTCGATTATCATGAAAACAAATCTCAGAGAACGATTTACTAGGTACCGATGTTTTATTAGACCAAAGGTTCATTGTTCGCCGGAGTTCTCCTTTAAAGGAAGTAAAAGTGACTTTATATCAGAGGAGATCATTCTAAGATTGGGATTACAGTGAATGTTTCTGGCTTTATGAAGAGGAAATTTACCCAGAAGACAAAGTAATAATACAGTATTATCAAGATGAACATCCTTAGAATGGAATTTGGTCGAAATAAACATGATGGAGGCCTTTAGGCCTGTGCGTCAGCTCAAGTGAACTATAGTAAAATCATGTGTGTGTGTGTGCAGTGCCGTAGTCTTCATTTACAAAGTCACATCGCTTACTTATCGCCAATATGCTTTGCCAGAAAAAAACAGCACTCTTGCTCATTACTCTTATTGCTATCATTATAAATATACAAATCAGGAACTCATTAGTGAGGCATTCACCCAATAGGCTATTGATTTTGTTATAAAAATTGTATTGTGTTTATTAACCTTTGAAAAATATATTTTTCATAACCATAAACTGTAATAAAAAAAATTAAAAGTGTGTGTGGTGTTTTTCATTATAGGGTTCGAGCTGAACTCTGCTGGAAAGTGGATCTCGAGGGCCAGAGTTGCTCACTGGTTTATAATGTAACATCAATGCTATTTTTGTCTAAAACTAAAACGATGAAGATTATAGATAAGAGATAGGATCTTTGTGTTCTCTGATCAGACAGCCGTGCTGCTAAACACATTAAAGCTTGTGTGAGGGCCGGGGTGATATTTTATCTGAATACTGGAACAGGCTTAAAGCACTAAAGCATTTTTGCATAATAAATAATGCAACCAAAATTTTACACCGGAAATAAAGAATTGTATTTGTGCTGAGAGTTGTAGCTTAGGTTTTGCTTCAAATCAATTTCTTACTCTTTGTTCACATATCCATGAATATAAAAATAGTAGGCCTACTTTGCGCTATATTGAATAACCCAATGGTAAAATTTAAAGAATTTGTTAATAAAAATATTATCTTACAGCAAAAAAAAAAATCAAATTAAACACTTAGGTCGATTAACATTAAGTTCAGTCCGGGAGCAATACGCCTTTATTTTGAAACCTGCCATACATTTCTTATCATAATCATAATAGCTTATTGTTCTACAGCATCTTCCTCTACATGCATTGTAAATATTAAGAAACTGCTCTTTTCACAGATAATATGGGTGGCTCTTAAAAGAGCCTTTGTGTTGTTGAGCGGACTCGCTCTACTTTGAGCTGGTGTATTTGGTCACGGCCTTTGTGCCCTCAGACACGGCGTGTTTGGCCAGTTCTCCGGGCAGCAGCAGACGCACGGCGGTCTGGATCTCTCTCGATGTGATGGTGGAGCGCTTGTTGTAGTGAGCGAGACGAGACGCTTCACCGGCGATGCGCTCGAAGATGTCGTTGACGAAAGAGTTCATGATCCCCATCGCCTTGGAGGAGATCCCGGTGTCGGGGTGAACCTGCTTCAGGACTTTGTACACGTAGATCGCGTAGCTCTCCTTCCTGGACTTTCTGCGCTTCTTTCCGCCCTTGCCGGCGGTTTTAGTGACGGCCTTCTTCGAGCCCTTCTTGGGTGCAGACTTCGCTGGTTCAGGCATGATATTTCAGTCAGTGACACTCAATGAACTATAGCTCTGTGTGTCACAGCAGGCGGGTTTTATCCACTGCTCTATGCTAATTTAAAAAGGGAGGAACGAAACTCTGTGATTGGTAGGCTTCCTGGACCAAACCATAGAACGATTTCATTGGTCACATAAAACATTCCCTGAACTGTAAGTGATCCAATCAGAAGCTTTGAAATGTTAATCACGCCCATCGACAACTACCATCCCCCGTGACTTCCATCTCTCTTTGTTTCATTTTCCCGCATTTTTCAGGAATGAATAAATTGATTATTGGGAATCATTTAAATTTTCTTTCGTACGTAGATGATTATATATCATTTTAACATTTATTTAAAAGAAGAATTGGCCTTGTATAAGTGTATATACGATAATCTACAAATAAAAAGTTTATATAAAACAAACAATGAGCACTAACTTTCGAGAGTCTTTATAACGATGTTAAATTAACTACAAAGCAGAACTGTGAATATTGCACAGTAAAAATACAAATCACTTAACCCTCTATGCTTGGTATGGTGTTGCCTCCAGGAAGCATGGTCTAATATAGTTGGTAGATTTGTTTGTTGGTTTGATAAAATGAGACCTAACCTATCTCATGATAGAAGACTCAAATACCAATCAATGAAAGTGCAAAATAGTGATCACATGACCCACAGGGGCCATTTTGTGTCTTGTTTCAGCACATGTGCACGTCTCCATATTTTCGCCATTGAAAAGTTATAAATAATTAGAATTAAATAAATATTGAATCTGTAATGAACAGTAATTCACATATTATATCTACAGATTGTCTGTACCTATAAAAGGTATAAAACACAGCTGGCTGTTGATGAGGGTAAGGAGATTGTATCATGATGAGGAAGATGAGGTTATAGTGAATCCAGCAAGGAGAGTGAAGATGAGGATGAAGATGGAGATGGTAACTTGATTTGATGGTTTGTTAATTTGTGTTCCACTGTGGTACAATGTTGCCTGAGATCAACAGCTTTTATTTATTTTTTTAATTCATAAAACATTAAAACTAGATAAACTCGTTATTTTAATCATCTGGTTAAAGAAATTTACCATTTTTTTTTTGTCTTTTATTTATCTACTCTTTTCTCACTATTTTTTTCTCTTCTAAAACAAATCATTAATTTACGTTGCAATAAATTTCAACAACCAGAAGCTCGTTCTTTGTGTGTAAATGTGGGTGGCTCTTAAAAGAGCCGTTGGGTTTTTCTTCTTCGTGGGTCTCTTAACCGCCGAACCCGTAGAGAGTGCGCCCCTGTCGCTTCAGCGCGTACACAACATCCATGGCGGTGACGGTCTTTCTCTTGGCGTGTTCAGTGTAAGTCACAGCATCACGGATGACGTTCTCCAGAAACACCTTCAACACACCGCGGGTCTCTTCATAGATCAGGCCAGAAATACGCTTGACACCCCCACGTCGAGCAAGACGACGAATAGCGGGTTTAGTGATTCCCTGGATATTATCGCGAAGAACCTTTCGGTGACGCTTAGCGCCTCCTTTCCCGAGTCCTTTCCCGCCTTTTCCTCTTCCAGACATGTCGACAAATACTCTTCAGCTCAAAACAACCGAATACAGAAAACAGCACTGGAGAACGGGGGTTTCTAGTCAGCTAGCGGACCTAGTTGAAACCACATTCACGGGCGGTTCTAGTAAACGTCACCAGTTACGCATTTCCATGCCCAGTTCAGTCTTTTGTTGCCTTATAGTAGTGGAAATAAATCGAATATAAGAAATATTTACAACTATATTATTTAATTATAAATAAATAAAAAAACCTTAATGCATTAAAATAGACAAATCAACGTGGCATATAAATGTTCATATTTCAAAATACCATTATATAGAAATCTTTCTTAGAGTTATTGAGGTGGCTCTTTAAAAAATGAGTGTGAGTTGTGGATTTAAGCGCGCTCTCCGCGGGCCAGCTGGATGTCTTTGGGCATGATGGCGACTCTCATGGCGTGGATGGCGCACAAGTGTCCTGGACCCGGCAAGGTCTGTGCTGCCTCTGCTTTCAAGGTCAGTGTTTTTTTATTTTTATCGTATATTTGTGCATCATATCCCATAACTGTTCAAAAAAAGTAATGTACTATGCAAACTAATTTTAAAAATTGAGATGCACATAGGAATCACAGGATGAAAATCCTTTCATAGCACAACTGGGGGATGGGGTTGGACAACAGTGTGTATAATAATGCAGCGTGTCACTACCTCCATTAAAAATGCTTAGAAATCATATACTTTTGTTTGTTACTTTTTCAAAATACTAGGCTACTAACAATGTAGACTAGGGCAAATGATTTTGATATATGCTGGGCTGATCTTAACTTAAACAATGATAGAAATTTATGAAATCGCTCTATCGGAGAGAAATTGGGTGGCTCTTAAAAGAGCCTTTGGTTTGAAGACAAACTTCCGTCAGTTTATTTTCCCTTCGCGGCCTTCTCGGTCTTCTTGGGCAGCAGCACGGCCTGGATGTTCGGCAACACACCACCCTGAGCGATGGTCACGCCACCCAGAAGCTTGTTGAGCTCCTCGTCATTGCGCACCGCCAGCTGCAGGTGTCGAGGGATGATGCGGGTCTTCTTGTTGTCCCGAGCGGCGTTTCCAGCCAACTCCAGGATCTCAGCGGTCAGATACTCGAGCACAGCGGCCAAATACACCGGAGCTCCGGCACCGACACGCTGGGCATAGTTGCCTTTGCGGAGAAGTCTGTGAACACGGCCGACGGGGAACTGCAGTCCGGCCCTGGAAGAGCGAGTCTTGGCCTTGGCACGAGCCTTTCCGCCGGTTTTACCTCTTCCGCTCATTATGACTAGAGTTTGTTTTCGATTAACGAGAGGATCAAAATCAAAAACAATGCTGTTGCCCGTTGTGAGTTGCCTTATAAAAGAAAGCGTGCCCGTCTCCTATTGGCTGACGTCTGAAAACTATCCAATCAGCGATCTTCCCTCCAAACACCCTTTCTGGCTCAAACACGTCTCGCTGTAGTATCATTTAATGCCACTAGGCTTCATTTTTAAGGGTGGCATTTTTCTGATAGATTATGATGATTACGACGATGATCATAATAATTATAGTGTGATTAGAAGTTAAAAATGTCGATCTTGATGCAAAATATGTTTAGTTGAATATGTAAACATTATGTATAAAAACTCCAGACTTGATCAAAAACAGATGTGTGGCGTGCGACCTCTGACATATATAGCAATTATAAGTCACTTTGGATAAAAGCGTCAGCTAAATGAATAAATGTAAGTACAAAATTGTTTATTATTGTTGTTTTATCTATTCTTATTTGTTTTGCTTCGTATTCAAAATATCAAAAAACAGGTTTTGTAATGTTAGCATGGTAATGTTAATTAGACCATCATAGCTTGAACTAAAAGGAAAAATTGACATTTGAATTTAAATATAGGCCTGTGTAAATATGTAATTGTATCCCTTCCATCAGTAACACAATGAGTTTTTTTGGCACATGCATTAAGCAGGGAACGCAACTATTTATTTGGAGAACTAAATAAAACTAGGCCGTAGTATTGCATCCTATTGTGTTGTTATACCATCTACCGAACAGCAGGAGGCGCTGTCTCGAAAAATGAGCGGTCTGAGAACGGGAATCTGTGGGTGGGGGTACCATTTTTTTTTTTTTTTTTTTTTTTTTTTTTTTATTCTAACCAACAAAGTCAATATACAGTCAGAATTGCAATATATACAAAATGGAGAAAACAAAAACAAGCTGAAAAAACAAAAACCAGACAGCCAGGGGGGGAGGCTAAACATTATATAAAAATATCAAAGGATTCACAAATCGAAATAGTTTTAATTGCTTTCTTATTGTGGGAATGAAGGATAGTTTTGATATATAATTGCATTTCTTTTTCAAGAACCAAAAACAAAGGTTTGGTTTTATTGTACTTACATTTATGTATATGGAATTTAGCATAAATTAAAATTAAATTTATAATATAGTATTCCTTCCTTTTATTTGAAGGAATATTATTAAAACCAGCTATAACATTTTCTAAACACAAAGAAAAAGAGGGGTCAATATTGTGAATTATAAATCTAGATAAGTCTTTCCAAAACTTTCTTACATGAGCGCAATGCCAAAACAGATGAAACAAAGTTTCAGGCAATGTATTGCAAAAAGAACAGTTCAGATCAATATCCTTTTTAAATTTAACAAGAAAATTATTTACTGGGTAGTACCTGTGTAAGATTTTAAAGCTAATTTCCTTTATTTTGTTTACCAATAAATATTTGTTTGGTAAAGTCCAGATGGCCTTCCATAACAGACCTTCAACCAGTCTATTCCAGTAAACAATACAGTTTGGCCTCGTGACAATATCTTTTTGAAACAATGAACCAGGGGCGGCTCGCCCATAGAGGGCGCTGGGGCGCCGCCCTCCCTCCGACCTGTCTGTCTGTTTTTTTAATATATATTATAATTTATAATTTTGAAAAATAATCTGTGTTAATTATATGCTAATAATGGTTTCACTTTGAAAAGTGTTTTGAACTCACCAGAATGATATTTGCATTCACTTTCGTTACTTTTATCATGTTGGTGTAGTAGTATAGCCAATAGGCTGTCTTCTCAGGGCGCCAGTTCGCTCAGCCCCACAGTGCTGGAATTTAAGCCAATGGTTCCCCGGTTGCTATGCAAAAAAGTTTATATTTCGCCAATCAGCGCCGTCAAATTTTATGGTTTGGGGGCGCTGAAAATATCGCCCACAGTATCAGATTAGGGGAGTGCACTGTGCACGCGCACCACGGGACATTTTTTTACCTCAGATGAGAGCAGAATGGCAGCGCCAGTGACGTCGAGTGGAAATAATGTAAAGTTAGTCGTGGGAATTGATCTGTCTGTCTCTGTCACTCACTCACTCACACACACATAAACACTGTTTCACACACATTTGATATTAAAATAGTTATAGGAATATTAATACCTGTGTGTTTGCTTTGTTTTTGATGTTTTTAAGTTCTGAGCTAGATTACTGTGTTTCATACTAGTTAAAATCGACTTTCTTCTCATACTTGGGTGTTACAATCAAGAACGTTGTCCCACCCTCTCTTTCAGAGCCTTTTCTCTCTCTCTTTCTCTAGTATCAACACATTGTTATCCATTATCCAATTGTCAATTTGTCAAAAATATGTAGTCTACAGCTGGGGATTGATTAAACTAGATTGTTGTATTACCTATTATTTTTTGTATTACCTATATTATAATTTATCAATATTATGCGTTTGCACTTTTTCTGTCAGCACACAGAGCATAATAAACATGCAACTTGTTCATTATCATTAACTGTCAAACAAATTATTATTATTGTATTATTTGACCATTGGTATTGACTGGTTTAAGTTATTTTATTGGTATAGGTAAGGGCATGGCCTAAGGCCTAAAATGCACCAGAATGCAGGAAATCACATCTACTAAATTCAAAATTTTCTGGGGGGGAACCCCCAGACCCCCCTCTTATTCAGCCCCCCCTACAATAATTTTCACCAGCCGCCACTGCAATGAACGAATGGTTTTATTTACATTTACGACTCCGGGGCCAAAACAAATCTTCCCAATTTCAGTATCAAATAAATTAAAGGAAGTAAGGGGTGTAGTACTGGTTTGGTTACTAGCTCTGAACAATGCTAAGACCCCTGTAGGGATCGCATCCATGACAATTGAAAACTCCCTGGGCGTCACTGGAATTTTATGGAGATCTAAAAACTCAGAGTAAGTTAGCAGCATACCTTCTAGATTTAGTAATTGACCTACTCGTATTATACCTGCTGAAAACCATCTTTCAAAAAATAAGGTTTTGTTTTTAAATAATAAATTGTAATTGTTCCAAATTAAATATCTATGGGGTGAAAAATTATGCTTGTATAAAAGGGACCAAGCCAGCAACATTTGTTTGTGAAAGCAAGACAAATTTAAAGGGATTTTCTCAATTTTATAGTTGCAAATCAATAGAAAATCAAGACCACCTACTTGGGAGAGGTGGGGGTACCATAGATATGTCGTCCGTTGCTGCGATACGTCAACGGGTCCGCCATTTTGCGGAGGTCAAGACTGCATTGTAATTAAATGCAAGTAAACGGGTGAGCTGCGTTTTTCTGGATAAAAACATTCTTGGATAAGAATGGTGAAGATCCCCATACTGAGATATTTAAATTTGCTCATTGTGGAAAAAGCATTTTATGTGATTGACCAGATTTTAGCAATAACATTGATAACCGATGGATCATTTATGATAATACATATGTTGTGGTACAACTGGGCATGCAGTGCAATGCAAATAGTAATAATAACATAAAGTGAAAAGTACTAGTAAATAGTTTAGTCAATAAAATAAACAAATAGTATACAGCAAATAAAATGGTAATGAATATATGTAAAAATATCTCCGAAAACTTCAGATCAAATTTTTAAATAGGCTCTATCTTTATAAACAAACCACATATTTGAGCTTTAAACAACTACATTGTCGACTGAAAAACTATTAAAACTACATTGCGTGACACAATAACAGTAGTATTTAATCTCTAAACGTTACTTACAAATTAAATCATGAC